CACTCACTCTCTCTCTCTCATTCTCTCTCCCTCACTCACTCTCTCTCTCTCTCTCACTCACTCTCATTCTCTCTCTCTCACTCACTCTCTCTCTCTCTCTCTCTCTCTCTCACTCAGTCTCTCTCTCTCTCTCACTCAGTCTCTCTCTCTCTCTCTCTCTCTCTCTCTCTCACACACACACACACATACGCACACAGCCACAAGCAAACATACATCCTCTGCTTTGAATATGCTGTCAGATTTAATAATTTCATGAGGCAGAGTGCTAATCATAAACCAAAGCCTGCATATTCAGGACATTTTTTTTTTAATTGCATTTCCTACCTCATAATTATGCAGGTCAGTCGGAGGCACAAGGGAGGTTACCAGTGATCATGTGATACAAAAAGGTTGAATCAATAGGAATAAGGAAATGAAACATAATAATCTGGGCCCTTAGGAAACTCACTGGGGAGACACATTTAAAATGCAAGTCTATATTATTTACCTATCCCTCCCAAAACATGCTGAAGAAATCATACTGGAAAGTACTGTAATCTTATAAGCGGGTATCTGAGAGATATTTTTGCAATATTCATAAAGACCATTTAATATATGTTAATTTCCAAATGTGTCAGTATGCGAGAGGTAAGTAACTCATGCTTACCGCTTTAGATGTGCATAAAACTAGCAGTCTATATAGCAAAATTGCTGATTTAGCTTTATTTGAAATATTTATCCATTAAAGCAATTCATTTAACTTAATTGTCTAGAAATTAGAATATAAGTCTTTGTGCTTAATAGCTAATTATAATGAAAAATTGAATAAAAATGCTTTGACGGTCATTTAAAATCCATTTGACAAGCTTGATGAAATCGACGGCTGTGATTTATTTTTAAATTTTCCCACATTTAACTCTTTTTTGTCAGCTAATTTGGATGTGGTCATGTGACGCAGAGAGAAGAAAGGATCGCATTCATTGTCACATCATCCCAGAACGAAATGACTCACTGTCCAAAGTAGAATACCCGATTAAAAAACAGAATAATATGTGAAGATTTCACAGACAAGGGCAACAAATTCACAGATACAGAAAATCGATCTGTAAATGTAAATGTTGTATGTCACTATGTAGAGAAAGTCATAGTAGATTGACGGCATGAGTAATAAGATCCAAAATGCATATCTTCTGAAAAAATTCCTTGTTGTTTAAATAAAAACACGTTTAAGACATTCGCACATTTGCTTCACACCTCCAGGGTTGGGGGTACATGGAGTTAGCATGTTCTCCCCATGCTTCACCAGTCCGAAGACATGCATTGTAGGCTGATTGGCATTTCAAAATGGTCTGTAGTGTGTGATTGTGCCACGTGATGGATTTTAACCCCTTCCAGGGTGTCCCCAGCCTTGTGTCCCGAGTCCTCTGGGATAGGCACCGGGCTCCTCGCGACCCTGTATCGGATAAGCGTTACAGAAAATGGATGGATGTTGTTATTGAATAAGTCAAAGCTACAAACTGTCCTCAAATGAATCAACCCATCCACGACTGCTAGATCAGATCCTCAGTAACAATAACAGCCCAAGCTATAGCGATACTTTTGACAGATTAATAGGCATTAGCTAAGTAAAATGTTGTACTTTAACATCTTGATAACACAAAAGCATCTTCTAATCTCATCAGCAAGTCTGCAAATCCCATGCTCAGAATAACTTCACTATAGATGCATCTCTTGATCCTCTTTGCACAGGAGCTTTGCATTTTCAGGATTAAATGCTAGCCAGAAGGCTGCTTGTGCATCCACTTGACATGATTAATTGACATATATTAACCATATGTGCTCATGGCATAGTTTGCCTGCTTGTCAATGCTTTCCTCATTTATAATAATTCTAGAGTAACAAAGGGTATTCGAATTCATTAAAACGATGGCAAACAGCAGCAGAGGTCATTCTGTAATCCGTGAATAGGATGATATATTAGGTCAGTAATACAGTACTGCATTACACACATGCTACATTTAGAGGTTAAACATTTAGAATTCTTATAATAATAATAAAAATAATAATAAAAAAATCACAGTGTTTTATAATGATTTTTTCATTGGTAAAATGTAAATAATGATTTGTAGATCAGGGAGAGTCTGCGCAGCACATCACCGCCCCCACACCGTAAAAGCAGCACAGAGTAATAAAATAATCCCAAGTGACTAATTAGGCTACATTTGTTCAGTTCTTACCACAGGATCAAAATAATGGAAGTAACAACACAACAGGGCCATTTGTACATAAAAACCTAACATAGTAATTCAAAATTATTGCATCATTTCCAGCTTTATTCCTGCTCTGTTCACACACTGCTAATTTAATTTAATTACACTAGCTCTCATATTACACCAGATAACGTTAAGCAGAGTGGTGAAGAGAGTCATATGGACATGATATAAAGCATCATCTTTGAACCTCGGGATCTACAACAGAAACGCCCGAGGAAAACGAGGTCTAAGCAAAGGAGCAAACTGTCCACTGAGGTGTATGAAGGCACACAATGGAGAAAAAAAAAAAAAAAAAACACCACACAGAACTGTCTTGCAAAGATAACACTTTCACATGGCTGTAGATCACATGTGGATTCCATAGGAGCTTATCATTTCCTGTCAAGGTGAATAAACATCTGTCCTGTCTGGAACCAAGATAGTCTCACCTTGCCATCTGGGCCTGCTGTCAACCAAGTGCGAAATACCCAAAGGAATCGGAAGAAAAAAAGAAAGATAACTTCTAAAAGTCATTTCAGGTAACGGGCCACTTTACTTAATCTAATGCTAAAAACAGTTTAGTAGACCAATAACACCTCAACTCCTTTGTGTGTACTATATGGGCCTGAAAGGTTAGCCGTGTAGTGTAACGGCGATTAAACTCGCTAAACACCAATCCACCTTGTTGAGACTGAAAAACCAGAGTTACTCAAACTAAACTCCAACTTACCTGGGTAGCCACCTAAACCAGCCTTGTGGAACAGACCTCAGGGAGTTGTGGTCTGCAAAACAATAACAGGATCAGAGCTAGAACCAATGTCACCCTCAAAATATTGGCTGGCAAGCAAAAAGGATTCCTTCTCAGTAGTGCTGTAAGTTCACCTGAGTGTGGTTACACACCTGTGCCTTACATTCAGTGTTATGATGCCTTTCCAGTTCAAAATAGTGTGGCTCTCGCATTTATAGCAGCATTGTTTATGTTCATCAGTACAGTCAGACAGCAACTTTTACTTTACAGGTTTATCTAACGCCACACCATGTCATAAGGTATTTAAGACAGGTTTTATTTATTTATTTATTTATTTATAATGAACGAATACTCTGAGCAGTGCACCCTGTGTCACCCTGTGCGCAGTGTCTTCAGGATTGAACAACTACTTAAGCATTCCACAGCAGATCAGCTAGTTGAAACCCAAACCACCGAGGGTCAGAGAAAACTGCCAAAAAGTGCAGCGCTCTTTGAACGGAACGGCTACCGGTATTCAAACACCACAGCCCTTTGTGTGGGAGAGAAATGTACTGCATAATAATACTGGATAATAACAAATCTCATGGGCAGTGTCCAGTTTCAACTGAAAACTGTTGGCAGCAGCACAAGTTACTTCGCAGTGAACTGTGTGGGATAACATTAGTTTGCACTAATTAGGTATTTACTTTAATCTAATTCTGTGTGTTCCTACCTGCATAGATTTTTATAACCCAGCACACAGTTCGAAGCGTTTCTTCAGCTTGCCAGAGGGGGCTTTGCAAGTGTTCTTAAATGTCCGAAAAAACATCATTGACATTTATCTTCGGGAATACTGTAAAACACCGCTATTGCAAGTGTAGTGAATAAACCAGAAGTGCAGGGACTAGAACTCAATAGAATGCGCAAGTGTTTGTGCAAAGAGCCCATTTGATGGCTTCCGTACATTCAGTGCTATGATGCATTTCCGATTTCGATATAGTGCAGCACTTTGAACCTTCAGGTTTCTCTAATGCCATATCACAAAGGTATTTAAGACAGATGTGTAATATATCATGAATATTGCATCATTTCATAGTTATTTGCTTATCTTTTTACTTACATGCATACATGACAGAGCTTGCAGTTTGCCGCATTTCTACAGCTTGCATGCAGTCTTACCAGGGCCGTAATTATACGGTTTATCTTATCATTTCATTCTTGTTCATTCTTCATTTCGTTCTTGTTTAAGACATTGAATACATCAGTGTAACGAACAACTCATTCAGCAAGGCTATTCATCATAAAATAACCCATGTTGGTAGTGAAGAACAAAGAACTGAAGAACACATCGAGGGCTACAGAGAGCCATGTGAGCCATGTGACATCACAACTAGCTAACAGCTGAATATGAGTTAGACATGCCCCGTTGTGATCACGCCGCTAACACCTTTGTTTCAGCTTGTTACATTACAATGCACAACCTTTTTGTTTCATTATAGGAAACAAGTGTCCGAATAGATTACAATAACACTGTGTCACGATAACGTTTCAGTGATTGTACGTTATATAATAAGGTTGAATTCAAGAGAATGCTTACTTTTGCGATCTTGGATCTGAATTGATGCACCACCATGAAAATCATTCACTTTCAGTTGTGCTTTCCAGGTTTGCCGACTGTGAAATACTGCCATTGTGAGAGCAGCGAAAGAACTGGAAATGCAGGTGCAATACTAAGAAGGTGGAAGAGTTAGTGCAATGGACCCATAGATGATTTTACATTTTTTCCCCAGGTGCTTACACACAACTGTCAAGACTATACACACAATTATTGGCACTATAAAATACTATACTAGTAGTGCATTGGGGAGAAGATGGGGGTGCAGGTGTGTGTGTGTATGTATATATATTGTATTATTTATCCAACAGCACTGTATACACCCTGGCATTTGGCAGACACCCGTATCCAGTGTGACTTACATTTATCTCATTTATATAGCTGAGCAGTTTGAGAGGTTGAAAGCCTTGCTCAAGGGAGCACGTTATGGCAGGGCTGGGATGTGAACCCATGACCTTCTGATAAAGAGAAGGTCAAGAGCTTGGGATCAAGAGCCCAATGTCTTACCCACTGAGCTACCGCTGCCTCGTTCACGTGGAATCAAACATGACTCTACGAATCTCTATGAATAAGACGGCATTTCCGTGCAAATCTGAGACATTTCATCCTTGAAAGAAATTTACATTGCACCAGTAAATAGATTTACACTGTCTTGACAGATGAAGCCTGACATATTTGGCTTACAAAATGTCAGCTCCGATTTTTCTTCACTTATCATTGTTTAACGTCAAACCACGTTTACCCGTTCAGGGTACATGCAGAGAATCGTTTATCACATCACTCTAATGTTCTCCATTAAGCTGTATGTGGGCACCCCATACCAGCTTTCGAAGTCGTTTGCCTTGTATGTTAGTGTGTGTTTGAGCATACGTGTGTGATACAAGAAGCAGCAAGTGAGCTTAATCATGCGGGTGCTCTGCAGGCAAGCCTACAAATAGATGCCGTGACATTTCTGTTGGCTTTTAATAATTCAGTAATGTCACAGGTGATCACAGTGCTACAAAATGCCGCTCATGACTTAAAATTCATGGACACTGAAGGAATAAGTACAGTACATGCATAGAGTAAATACAATGAATCGACTTGATTATTGGAAAATACAATGTATACACTGAGATCCTAGTATTCATTAACATTTACAGTGATTTAATAGATTTATAATTCCCTCTGAAACGATCAACATGGCCAGGCCAGTTCACTCGTTTTTGCTGTAGACTGAAGACATTTGGGTTTGAAGATCAGAAGCTGAGAAGAGAGTTTAGAATTTCCTGGTATTTAGATGTGTAGATGTGTTAAATGACATAGAACATTTTGTATCAGCCCACTCAATGTGTAGGTGAGCAAAAAATATTGGAACATGTGACAGACGGGTGTTTCTTCTGACCCATGTGTGTCCTGTTAGACTGATTGTGTTAAACAGAAGATGTGCTACGAACATCTACTTTTGGTTTTAGCCTTCGGGCCCTAGTTACACTATTGCGTTTAAAACGATCCTCGTCCACACTGGCGTTTCCGCCGTGTTTCATAAACAATTTCCGTCCACACTACCTGACCGAAAACGCGTGTCACATGACCCTTCATGCACACTGGGCATTCTCATACAAGTGTAAACAGGAAGTTGGTTGCTAGACACTGGCAGGCACAACAAACCGACGTTCCATGTAGGACTTATGCCACTTGATGAGATTTGCTGCTGAATTTCTATAAACATAGCTTGCCTCTTGCTCATTTAGGCAGCTGCAGGATTATATAATACAGAATTGAACTGCACAATGGCTGCTAAGAATGACAACGACATCAGCAAAGCTTGTGGTTTAGTCTCTGTGTAGTTGTATATACGGTTGTGTATATTGTATGGGCTTGAAGAATCAGGAAAGGATACACAATGATCCAAAAGACCCAATCAGGGAGCGAATGTGGGCGGAGCCACGCCTTTGTTTTCAGAAGTTTTTGTTTTGGTCTGTTTACACTGAAAAGCGAGCCCGGAGTTTTCAAACTAAAACGGGGGCTTCGGCATTTCCAAAAGTCTCAGTTTCCGTTAATTGCTAACATTTACAAAATGAACCTACAATAAATAATAAGTCTATTTAATGAAAGTAAAGGTCCATGTTTAATAAAAAATGTTAATGAAATGAATAAAAAAAAATAGGTTGTTCAATTTAGTTTTATACATGTTCTCATCTTTATAGCTATATTTTATTGTAATGTGACAAGTGATAAGCTCAGGGTTTACTGGGTTTTATATGATTCTTATATGATTCTTTGCTCTTTTTTCATACTGTGGGTTTTAGTGAAGTGTACTGAAAACAAACATCATCAACAGCAAACACAACAGTTCCTCAGCATTCAGAAACTCCATGCGAGACGCCTTGTTTGTAAGCGCTGCTTGGGTTGTTCCGACAAACTACTTCTTCTCTTGGCTGCTTCCTTTTGGTTTATAGGACAATTACGCAGAGTCGCCCCCTTTCGTTTCAAAGAATATTACAATGGCGAACGCGTCAAGTATAAACGCCATTGCGTTTGGGGAGGTGCGCACACAGTCAGTGGAGGCACGCGTTGCATGCAGAGCCAGGTGAAAGTATAAACAAGGCTTTAGCTCCATGAGGATAAAGTTGATGGTCCAGAAGCATCTGGAGCTTTTCTTTTAAGAAATCTGTCCATATTCTTTTTGCACTACACGTGCATCATTCACAACACACGCTAATTATTAGGATAAAGCACACGCATACGTTATGCATACTTTACGTGCTGGGATAATCTAACATAAAGAACAGAGAGCTGTCTATCATAGAAAAGCAAGCCATTCTAAAGCTGAGAAAAATCAATCAAAGACATTGTACGAACATTGGGCATAGCCAATACAACAATTTGGAATGTCCTGAAAAAGAAAGAAACCACTGATGTACTGAGCAACAGACATCATATGGGTCGGCCAAGGAAAAGAATAACAGTTGATGACACAAACATTGTGAGAGCTGTGAAGAAAACGCCCAAAACAACAATCAGTGACATCACCAACAACATCCACAGGGCAGAAGTGAAGGTATAACAATCTACTGTTCAAAGAAGACTTTGAGAGGAGAAATATAGAGGCCATACCACAAGATACAAACCACTCACTGCAGTAAGAATCAGAAATCCAGACTGGAATTCGCAAAGAAATACAGAAATGTGCCACAAAAGTTCTGGCACCAAGATGAACCTCTACCAAAGTGACGGAAAGGCCAAAGTGTGGAGAAGGAAAGCATCTGCTCACAAACCAAAACATATAAGCTCATATGTGAAACATGGTGGAGGTAGTGTCATGGCTTGTGCTTACATGGCTGCTTCTAGAAGAGGCTTACTAAACTTTATTGATCATGGAATTCATGATGGTAGCAACAGAATGTATTTAGAAGTTTACAGAAACAAGAGTTTTCTCTGTCTTCCAATTTACAGAGAAATGCATCCAAATTAATTGAGAGGAACTTTATCATGCAGCAAGACAATGATCCAAAACACACTGCCAACTCAACAAAGAACTTCATCATGGGAAAAAAAAAAGATTCTAGACTGGCCAAGTCAGTCACCAGACCTTGGTATTTACTTTCATATGCTGTATAATAATAATAATAATAATAATAATAATAATAATAATAATAATAATAAAAGTACCCCACCTTGTGCCCGATGCTTCCTGGGATAGGCTCCAGGTTCCCCGTGACCCTGAAGCAGGAATAAGCGCTTCACTGTTTCCACATTTTGTTATGTTAAAGCTGTCACAGCCCAGTCTAGGCTGGGCCGCACAGTGTAACCAGCTCGGGATTCAATTGGATTGATCTTTAAATAAGGGAAGCCAGGAATAACAATGCGAACAAGGTGGTGTGAAATAGGTTGTGGTGTAATGTAACAGACAATATATACATACTGTATAATTGTACGAATTAACCAAACCAAACTAAGGCCAAAATAATAAACAAAAGAATTCTATTGTTTAGGTAGCTAGCTTAACTTAAAGGAAAATAAAGAAAATACACGCATTCTTCCGTAACTACCTAAGCAAAGAAACAAAGAAAAAAGGACCCTATCCCAAAATAAATGGCAGCCACACCCCTACTGCCAATGAACCAATTGAACATATATACAAAAGTGAAGAGAATACACAATAACCGATACAGGGACAACTCGAAGTCAAAAACCAGAGAAAAGTCAAATACCAAAACAGCAGTCAGAAAATAGCATACAATCAAACTCAATCTCCAAACACAAGTCTGATCTCTGGCTGGGCCACTCAAGGACATTCACAGAATTGTCCTGTAGCCACGCCTTTGTTATCTTGGCTGTGTGCTTAGGGTCGTTGTCCTGTTGGAAGATGAACCTTCACCCCAGTCTGAGGTCCAGAGTGCTCTGGAGCAGGTTTTCATCAAGGATGTCTCTGTACATTGCTGCATTCATCTTTCCCTCGATCCTGACTCCCAGTTCCTGCCGCTGAAAAACATCCCCACAGCATGATGCTGCCACCATCATGCTTCACTGTAGGGACGGTATTGACCAGGTGGTGACTGGTGCCTGGTTTCCTCCAGTCTCGACGCTTGCCATTCAGGCCAAAGAGTTCAATCTTTGTTCCATCAGACCAGAGAATTTTTGTTTCTCATGGTCTGAGAGTCCTTCAGGCGGGCTGTCATGTGGCTTTTACTGAGGAGTGGCTTCCATCTGGCCACTCTTACCATTCAGGCCTGATTGGGGGAGTGCTGCAGAGATGGTTGTTCTTCTGGAAGGTTCTCCCCTCTCCACAGAGACATGATGGAGCTCTGTCAGAGTGACCATTGGGTTTTTGGTCACCTCCCTGATTAAGGCCCTTTTCCCCAGTTTGGCCAGGCAGCCAGCTCTAGAGTTCCATAGGGTTTTTGGTCACGTCCCTGACTAAGGCCCTTCTTTGGCTGGGCGTCCAGCTCTAGGAACAGTCCTGGTGGTTCCAGACTTCTTCCATTTACGGATGATGGAGGCCACTGTGCTCATTGGGACCTTCAATGCTGCAGAAATGTTTCTGTACCTTTCCCCAGATCTGTGCCTCGATACAATCCTATCTCGGAGGGGTCCAGACAATTCCTTGGACTTCATGGCTTGGTTTGTGCTCTGACATGCATTGCTAACTGTGGGACACAGGTATCTATCTATCTATCTATCTATCTATCTATCTATCTATCTATCTATCTATCTATCTATCTATCTATCTATCTATCTATCTATCTATCTATCTATCTATCTATCTATCTATCTATCTATCTATCTATCTATCTATCTAATCTATGTGCCTTTCCAAATCATGTCCAATCAACTGAATTGACCACAGGTGGACTCCAATCAAGTTGTAGAAACATCTGAAGGATGATCAGTGGAAACAGGATGCACTTGAGCTCAATTTTGAGTGTCATGGGAAAGGTTATGAATACTTACGTACATGTGCTTTTTTTGTTTTTTATTTTTAATAAATTTGCAAAGATTTCAAACAAACTTCTTTCATGTTGTCATTATGGGGAATTGTTT